AAAAGGATTCAAAGTATTATGCATCAAAACTAACATAGAAAGTGTCCACATAACAGTAAAGAAATTTCCAATCCATATGTACAAAAAGAAAGGGCACTGTTATCCTGGTGAGATACTTCAGGTTATAACATGATAATCCAGATTTCTGGAAGGAAAAAAAAATACCAAAAAACCAAAACCCAACCCCAACCCTGGATAAAGCTAAAGAATTATAGTTTTCAAAACTGTTACTCATTACATACAACAGATTTGTGTTTTACATAACTCTGTACAAAATAAGCGTAATTTTTAATCTGAAAATGTGTCAGTTTCAAAATTAACCTTTCTAGGCAATTTCCTCAAAGTCGAGCTCCGTTCTATACACATTTAAACATTATGACAGAATTTCATTCACACGTGATCATTATCCAGTTGTCCGCCACACTTCTGCACTCTTAGTATGGTCCAAAAATGTAACTCCTGTACAGCCCCATCGCATCAGCAAACCGACACCGGCAGCTGGAAGCACAGAACGGTACGCGTGCATCACGCGGGCACAGGGCAGGTACTCCTAGTAGGTTTCTTTCTACTCCGGATTTGTACGACCTCATTCTTTGTTCTTTCAGGGTAGAAATTCGTAGGGTAGTACTACCTTCCCTCCCTAAAACGTATTGTTTGCATTATTTGAGGTGAATTTCCTGATGTATTTATCTGCATTAAAAAGGATCCAAATGGCTACTTGTCTCAGCTACATTTATTCACCCTCATTTAATTGCAGCATGTAAGGTTTCTCTCGTCAGTGCCTCGAGGCTGTTCTAACCTTGTGGGGAGGGGGGAATCGCCTTTTCCTGCGATTCAAACGTCCTTTAATCTCGCCCTCCTGGCGCGCTTCCCCCTCCAACGCACCGCAAAACGACAGGGCCAACTCCCAGGCTGAAATCAGTGCAAACGCAAGAGCACCCGGCGCTTCGCTCCAATTCAGAAGCTCCCCGCTACCTCCCCGAGACGGAGCACGAGCTGCATTCCTCATTCCAACCCAGGAAACGGCGGCAGCTGTCCATGCCAGGTTTGTTACTGCAAACACTGTCAAGCCATGGCCGGTTTTATGACATTTAGTACATTCCTCTCTGCGTACGAACAAGCACGTATATACAGTGATTTACAGCAGAAAACAAACAGCCCTTTTATCAGCTGAACATCTAGGTCCCCCTTGGAAACCAGTCTCTTCCAGGAACTTCAGGGATAAAAGATAATACATAGTAATTTTACACAGTTAATTTATCTCCATTAAGGTAGTAAACAGAAAATGAGCTTTTGCTGTTCCTAGGTGAGGTTTTAAAGCCCCCTGCATCACAGCTGCGGAGCTGTTCCTGCTAAACACTCAACTGTGTTTAAAAAAAAGGCAAAAAGAAAAAACCTCTGAAGAACTACTGTGGGCAAACTACACTACTTCAAAGGAAGGCAAGGACTTGGGACACAACGCAATTATCGTGGCATGGCCGTGTCTTGATAGACCAGCAGCGCCTCAGCCAGATTCACACGCTTCCAATTAAATGGGGATGCTGATGAAACCCAGCTAAAAAACCTCTCACCGCCAAGTAACCAGCCGGGTGTGGGGTGAAAAGGTCCCATCCAGTTAAGCCTGTTGCTTCCATACAACCAGTCAACTGTTTAAGATGGGCCTAAATTTAAATTACAGGCTAAAGCACTGGCTCGTAGTCCTCAATCCAATGAATGTGAGCGAAAGATTTAACAGTGCGGTGTAAAAATCCTACCCGCCTGAAGTTACTGAACAGACTATTTTGGGTTGCAGTCTTTTTTTTTTTTTGGCAAGACCTGAGGCACAGAATCAGAATTAGTACTTGAAGAATATTTGTACAGCAATACAGTAAGTTGTCTCTACACTACATTTTATTTTTTAATAGATATTAATAGATCCTACGTGCTGCATCGGGGTCCTTTATCGATTAGTAGTTTTACAAATATTAAGCCATAGTAATATTTAACCCAACCAACTCAGTCTTACAAGTCTATCAACAAACCGATCACACGTACAAACTGGACACCGTACAAATAAACATACGTAAATCTGTAGTATCACAGCAGTCCAATCGCTGGAGGAAGACGTCTTTCTGTCAAGCTCTGTCACCGGTCACTGCCGTGGGACAGAGCGCTCTCGTTCAACAGTGACAGTCACCAGCACTAACGTGGTAAAATCTAAGTTCAGTTCCCAAAGAACACACTAACAAAGCGGCTGAAATCGCGTAGGCAGAGGTACAAGGGTTTCCGTTTGACATTTAGAGCACACTGGGACCACAGAAACACGAGTCCTTCCCCCACCAGCAGTCAGCTAACGCACCGTTATGATACTGCTCCGCGGTAAATACCCATTTTAACGTTTCCCAGCACAGAGTAGAAATACCAGCACAGCATCCTCATACCCATGTCCAATATAAATGAATTTAATGCATAAAACAGTGTTAATCAGTTGCTGCCAGGCCCGCAAGGTCGTTTGCGTGTACAGGACTACAAACCTACGTAACGTTTACAACGCCGATGTGGAACGAGCACACGAGACTGCGATACTCCGCCTTCCCAACAAGCTGTCGGGTGCTTGAGACGGCACTAAAACATGCACGTCACCGCAGTTCTCCAGCTCCTCCACAACACTGACCAACAGTTTATTGCTCACACGTAAAAACTTAAGACTCTGTCATCCAAAGCTCTTTTTCCTGCGTCGATACGTTACGTCACAACCACCTCAAACAATATATTCTTCCCCCCACCCCTGACCAAAACGCCGCCTGATGGTGACTGGAGTCTCGTCAATAAAGTGTGCAACCTAGTGAAATTAAATTTAAAAAAATATAACACAAAACAAACCTTGTGTTAATCTCTAATAAATTTTTAGTGTCGCTTCTATTTAAAAAATTGACCCAAATTATCCACAATATATTTTAAAAGGGAAAAGATTAATGAGTCTAAGATAAATTTGAAAAATCACTGTCTGAAGTCACCGGGTGTTACTGGGCAGGAAGCAGTACCCAGGTTTTGCAAGTAAGGCCTTTTATGCTTGTGAAATTGAGATGCACCATTTTACGCCTACTGGGAATTATTTCAGCCTCCGAAACTTACACACAAGGTATCTTGGATATATAAATATATACATCAACATGCCATATTATTACAAATGGAGTAAATACAGAAGCTGAACGTTAGATATAATCTACTTCACATACTACAATGCAGATAACATCAGGAAATCACGCATTTTCAAACGACTGCCTTCATCAGCAAGCTCTGACAAAATCAACACGTCGAATGGATCAGCTTTGAACCGTGACGCCGTATCGCAGCCGTACACCCACAGCTTGTACCCTGCCACCTGCTCAGGGACTCTCTGGTAACTGAATGACAAACACTCCTTAGGAAACATAAATATACCAACAAATGGAATGCTAATTAACACCTGCTCCCCAAATTCACATCCACGCCAATTCACAGAGGATCTGGAAAACAGTTTAGTAATTTTTTTTTTTTTTGTAGCAAACGCATAATGAGCTACAGAGAACAAGGTATGGTGGACACCAAAGTTGCTCTCCACAGTCGCATATTTCTTTTCCACTTGGTGCCTGGTTCAACCACTTAAGCATTTTTTTTGGTAACAGAAAAGAGAGTGTGAAGCATCAGGCCTCAAGTAAGTATACAGAGTCTGTGCAAACTTACAGTCTTAATTCTGCATGCCCTCCTTTCCAGATACTGCAGGTGATGTTTGCAAAAAACAACCAAACAAAGAGAATTATTATAAAGTAAGGGTGTACAGAATCAAGGTTTCACTTCAGGTTTATTTTTTCAACTAAGTTAGGGTCACACACACGCCAAAAAAATTATTAAAAAAAAAAATCTGTCACACTACCCAAACTTCGAAAGTGATGTGTAGCCAGAGAGTTTTGGTTACATTTTTGTACCATACCAGATCTCAGAAAATATGACTCCTCCTGTACTTTTTTCCTTAAAACTGGACAATAGCTTTTTAAGTGATAGAAAATGGTATTAAAGTTTGTTTTTAAAGGTATAAAATAACTAAATGTACCATAAACAAATAAATAACTGCTTTTCTTTTCCAGAGCAGTACATATAACAATACATTCCCCTAAGTCATAGAGTTATCATTTACAATAGACAACTTAATTTTACTAAGGATGCAAGAAATAATAGAATACAAGGCACAATCATTAAATGGAATTTTTCTTTAGGGTGTATATTGACTTTTGTCAGCGTGATATACCATAAAAAGTGCAGAAAAACACAATGTGCAATGAGACCACTGTATAAAACATGATTGCATAAAAAGTGATTTGGCCTTTTAACCTTAATAATTGAAAATAACCAATCTTACCCTTAAAATTAAACTATAAAGTATGACATTTAAAATTTATTTTCAATTCTAGTGCTATCTAAAAAATCCTGAAAAAAATTTATACCTGGGTAATATTTTATATGTACGTGTTTATGTATATATTAATATACACACACACACTCTTCTTTGTAGGTCATTTTAGCCTCTTAAGCACGTCTCAAGTTGTAGAAACGACAATCTGGATCAGAAAGTAAACATCGTAATTCCATACCTGTCCTGTAATTTCCTTGAATCCTTTAACCAATTATACATTTTGTCTAAAACATCTCTGTCAAAGGACCCCACCAGTGCATTATTTTCTACCAAAAGTACCAAAAAGGATACATTTCAGAACAATGTTAACAACTTACTATTTAAAACAATACACAGCTTTTTTCACTGCAAATGGTATGCTGTACTGACACTCAAAGGAAAAAAAAAGGCTCTCCACTGCACTGATTCTCAGTCTTTGGCACAATAAACAGAGATTTAGTGATTGATACAAGAATCAAGGTCTGAAAAATTAGACATTAGTCAAACTTTTTCCAATGTGGATATATATATATATTTATATATATTTGTGATTACATTTTTGCTATGTTTGGCAGAACTTGGATAAACCAACAGCCTGTCCTAGGCTTCTTTTGCAGATGAACCTTCCATCACAACTGAAATTAAGCATTTTCAGATTAGCAAAGTTTGGTATTTTTGTATTTGACAGACACGTAAGTGAATTTTCTGCCACTTTTTGCCAAAATCTGCCTTCCTAGGCAACTTGACCTTACAATCAAAGTGTACCTTGCTTGGTCAAAAATAGACTTCTGTTTACGGGTTGTGGCGTTTGAAGTTCTACCACCTTGTTTTAACTGTGTAGAGATACCAGACACTACTCGAGCAGAGCAGTTCTCGACGCTGTACGTCAGTCAGAAATTGCTTCAATTATTCTCAACTGTGAACAAAATCGACTGTTGAAATGCATAACCTATTTGGAGGGCAATAAATAGCAAAAGTTTAAAATATATATTTCTTTCAAAGAACGTTCTTTCAGTTCATTTTTTGCTAATTTTTTCTCCCCAGATCAGAACATACTCTTCTAACCCATAATAGCAGCAGGGAAGCAGAAGTCTGTTCTGCTCTTCCGTAACTGTACCTGCTTTGTAGCATTCCCAAGCGAAACCCTTGGTAAAAATCACCAACCAATTAAATTAGCTTTTGCTTTTTCAGTCAACTTCCGGACTCTGCCTCTGCTAGACGTTCCGAAAGTTAAGGAGGTGTCTTCAAACAATAGCTGCCTTTGCTCTTCCTCAGAGTCATCTTCATTGTAAAAGGCTGTCCTCCTACCCTGGTTTCTAGTTCTCATGTGAGGTTCAGAATCTTTAAGCTCCTCAGACCCCTCCTCCATGGGCTCCCCTATCTTTTTCCTCCTGCTCCTTGTCTGCATTTTAACATTCGCAGGAACTGAAGGGTCCGAGCCTGGCTGATGGGGCTTTATCTTTCTTTTTGGCTTTCTACCCCCACGGCCTTTTTTTTGTATCAAGTCTTCCTTCATAGTATTTTCAGAAAGAGAATTGCATGCAGTAGAAGCAGAGGCTTCTTCCGGTGTATCCCTCGCGGTCTGGATCGTATTCTGCTCCGCGACCTTTTGCTGTTCCGCAACCTGTAGCTTCTTGGGTTTTCTGCCTCTTTTCTTGTGTACCACTTCACAGCTACTATTGTTAGTCTCCACCTTCGGTTTCCGTCCGGGGCCTCTTTTAACCGGAGGTTTCGAAGGCTGTCCCCCGTGTCCGTTTACCTGAACGCTTCCTGCTGCCAGAGCATTATTCTTGCAGTCTGCTGCAAAGAAACCAGAGCACTCATCACGCAACAGGTTTGTGTTTACGTTCATTTGCACGCTGCCCTAATAAAACTCCTACTAAAATACCCGAATGGATTCACGGTGACTGCCCATCTGTCAGAGCCTAAGAAACCCCGAGAGTTTCACGCCAGTGTGCAATGAGGACTACCCCGAGTTGGGTTTAGCTCAGGGTAGCTTGAAGGACAGAAGAGAGAGAGGAACAGCTCAAGTGTTTCTCTTGGACCCACCACCACTGGACAAAAAAAAAAAAATACTACTTGGTAGCTGCACCTGCAAAAAGCTGCTCCAGAAGCATTGCTGCAAGGATGGGGAATGTGTCACAGCAGGTCAGCTCTGGGGGAAATTGAGAAGTTTCTTACAGCCTTTAGAGCCAGTGCATTACACCAGGGTCATTTTAAGAAGCAGCAAGGGAAGGGGTAGAAACACACGAGGCTAACAAAAATAAAAAGGGTACGTGATTAGCACAGATTTCTGATGTTAACAGACACACGGCAGAAGGTATCTGCTTCGAGGCTTTCATGAGCTATCGGTTTTCCGGCACGCGAGTGGTACTCAGCTTCCTCAGCGGGGCATGCCAGAGAACCTCCGACGGAGATGTTCTGACACCCCAGCCCTTGTCTGAAACACGACCAGGACAGACCCATGGTCAGCGTGACCGTCGGGCCCTTCGATGGAACATCCACGCGCAGCTCCTGCCGCGGTCAAACGCGCCCCATCACGCGCTGGGAGCACAGGCCTCCACTGCCAGTATGAGTGATGGGAGAGTAAGAACGAGCAACCCTCAGGGAGGGGAGGACTACAAGGAACAACCAGATTCATTAGGTGGGGCCCAAATTTGCAGACTACTCTTTCTCCACCTTCAGAGAAAAGATGCTTAGCAGACCTAGCTCCTTCACAGCAGCTTCATAACAACAGTTCAAAGCTCCTTCATCAACAGGAAAGCTTTTATGATTAGGTCTTATTTCAGTCTCCACTGAAGCCTTGAGTTTTAAGGTACCCAGACATCAAAGAGCAAGCAAGTTCAGTCAGAAGATTACATGAAACTAGATCCAACCAATCCATACAGACAGACTGAAGAGAAGCAGCAACACCGCAGAGTTCTGTTTCGCCCTGAAAAAAAACCTGAAAGAGCAAATCCGCAGCTGGGATGCTCTAAGCTTTAGGCTCCTGGTTGTGGAGAATAACTCGGTGTTACTGACCCAAATATAACCCACCTAAGTTCTGTTAGGCAAAACCCACAGGATTTAAAGTGTGACCCTGCCGCAGTCTGCTTTGCAATCTCAGAACTCACAGCACAACCCCGGCAGTAATTTAAATGAAGGAGCAGCGACGTTAACGTATCAAAACTGGCTAGACAAAACGGTATCCACACAACCCAAGTGGTGTTAAGAACAGTCAAAATCGCGTCAGTTTATCAAGAAGGAAACTAATGGAACAACTCAGTCACAGTTAGAATTCCCTATTCTGCTAAGTCATAATGCATACTGATTTCCCAAATAGTCACCGCTACGGTACAACACTACCGCCACTACGTCAGTAACCAGAGGGTGAGACACTGACAGAGAAACTCCGTACCTGGTTGGTTAACAGGGCAAGATTTCACTTTGCGCTTGATTTGCTTCTCTTTCTCAGGGTTTTCTCTTGTGGAGTTATTCCTAGTATTATGACTGTAATCAGATTGACTAGGTATCGATACAGTGTTCTGGTTCTTGGAATGTTTGGGTGAATTCTCCAGTACTAGAAGGACAAAAGAAAAACTTGAGTAATTTTCTTTTAAGTAGTTTATACCACATTTAATCTTACCTGGCTAAAAAGCAAGTCATAGAATCATGGAATGGTTTGGGTTGGAAGGGACCTTAAGGACCATCTAGTTCCAACCCCCTGCCATGGGCAGGGACAGCTTCCACTAGACCAGGTTGCTCAAAGCCTCATCCAGCCTGGCCTTGAACACTTCCAGGGATGGGGCATCCACAGCTTCTCTGGGCAACCTGTTCCAGTGCCTCACCACCCTCTCCGGGAAGAACTTCTTCCTGATATCCAATCTAAATCTCCCCACTTTCAATTTAAACCCATTACCCCTTGTCCTGCCACTCCAGGCCCTTGTAAAAAGTCCCCTCCAGCTTCTTGTAGGCCCCTTCAGGTACTGGAAGGTGCTATAGGTTCGCCTACAAACGACATGAATCTGTGATCTAGCAGTGAGAAAGCTTCCTGGCTAACATAACACAGCCTGACTTGTTCTGTTTTCCTGAGGAACCTCGCAGGCCCAAGCAGCCTGAAAAAGGAACCAGTCTTAACCGGCACAAATACACTAGATTTCCAAAACGCAAGGTTGATGCTTGGAAACATTCACAGCTTAAGAAAAAAACCCCAATTAACCCGCCCCAAAAACCCTGAAACACAACCAAAACCAAACCAACTTGCCTGACTTTCCTGACCCTGCAGTAGTATTAGGCTTTGCAATTAAAGGCTTTATCGTTAAAGGCTTGGCTCCTGAAGAAGTAGAGGGTTGCTCTGTCACAGCCACATCTGTTACCCCCCTATTGCTCCTAGTCCGCACGAGGGAGGAGGTTTCCGCTGCTTTTCCGTTCATCTGAGGTGGAGCATGTCTCAGCGCCGTTGACCGTGCAGGTGCGGAAGATGAAGACGTGGCAGAAGTTTCTGCCTTCAGCTGAGGTTTTATTAATCTCCTCTTCCTCTCAGGGCTGCGAAAGGAGTAACAGTTTGTATCCTGGATGACCACTTTTTTATTTTTATTTTACAGGAATAACTGAAGTTAGATGCTAGTATCTGAGATTGTGGGAGTAACATGATCAACTCTGTATGAAGTATGTTAAAAACGTGACATTTACCGTGGAAACTCATGTAGTTGTGGGCCTCTGAAAAGTGAATCTTTACAATAAACGCTACAGGTATGAGACAGAGCACGATGCCACCACTATCTTAACGATGCTGCTTTACGTGTTGAGCAGCTACTTGAATTTTAAGCACTTACACTAGGAGAGCTCTAAATAAAGTTTAAAACTCTTGCACCTCATAGGGACTTGTGTGTAAAAGCTATCAATTCTGCAACATAGGGAACAGCAAAGGAGGGATTAAGGAAAAAAAAAAAAGCACCACACTAAGTTCTACCGTTAGGTATGTGTCATGGTTTAACTCTAACTAGCAAAATACCATGAAGCTG